TGACCACCAGGGGCCGTGACGGTTTGTCCTTCTGTCTCTGGCAATCAGTGGGCTTCTAGCGTGGGGTAACCACAGGTCAGGTTCCTTAGAACATTCTTACAGATGTGTTTGGTGAATACATGAATAATTGTTGTTGGGTATTTACGAAAATCCGTGTCCGCTCATTTATAGGAGCAGAACTGTTGGTACGCGATGTACCCATATGTTCGGCTGTAAGAGATGCTGACCACTTCCCCAAGTGGTGGTACGAATTTACATCCTCCAGGGAGTGCAGGGGAACTTTGTTTTTTCCACTTTCTCCGAGACCCTTCCTGTTGCCTCTTGGCCTTGCAGGAGGGTCCATGTACCGCGTGTTCTAAGCGTCCTGGGTTGGCGTGTGTGCACACACAGCAAGCCTGGCCTCAGAAGCAAGGGCCTCATCTTCCCTCCTCCTCCCAACTCGCCAGCCACAATGTCTGCCCCTGGGAGCAAGGGGTGGTTGGCAGGGGCAGATAGGGGACAGGGACATCACAGTCGCCCCGACTCAGATTGTCACAGGAGGCTCGCGCCTGCTTTCTCACAGAGGCGTTTGGCAGGTTCTTCTCAGGCTGACACCATCACATGCCCAGCTTCAGCCTGCCAGCACAGGCCCTGTCTGCATCCACTTCCCCTCAGCTGGGCTCTACTGGATGGGACCTAAGACCATGTCTGGTCCCTGGGGCCCACCTCGGCCTTTGTCTCCTGCCCAGCCAGGGCCTGGGTGTGTCCAACAGAGCAGCACCCTCCTGGCCCTGCCCCTGAGGCTGCCGGCCAGCCACTCGCCTTGGGGACTCCACGCAGAAACTGACTGGCCACCTGCCCACCGTGCATGGAGCCCTGCATGGAGCCCGCAGCGCCATGGCAGCTGCTCCCCCGCAGCCTGAGTGAGAAGCAAATGCCTGCCTTCCTCTATGGACGGGACCCGGGCTCAGCACACCGCCAGCCCTTCAGAATGCTGCTCAGCCTCCAAACACTTCGGGAAGCACAGGCCTTGAGGCATCTTGTTTAGAAAATAGGCAAAGGCTGCTGGGGCTGTGGGCAGGGAGGCCCATGTCACCATCCTAGGGTGTGTCTCTTGTGACGTGGAGTCTGGAGTGGAGCTTTCAGCTGGACCTCCTGTTACAGAGCAAGTGAAGAGAAGAAGGAGGGAGGGAGGGAGGAGGGAGGAAGGAGAGAGAGAGGAGGGAGGCAAGAGGGAGAAGGGAGGGAGGAAGGAGGAAGAGAGGAGGGAGGAAGAGAGGAGGGAGGAAGAAGGGAGGGAGGAGGGAAGAAGGAAGGAAGAGGGAGGAAAGAGGGAGAAAGGAGGGAGGGAGAAGGGAGGAAGGAGGGAGAGAAGAGGGAGGAAGGAGGGAGGGAAGAGGGAGGGAAGAGGGAGGGACGGACAGGCCTCCAGCATGCCAGCATATGCCAAGATACATTCTTGGATAAACCAGGGACCTCAGGTAGGCATGAGAAGGGGACTTGGCAAGGGCAGCCTGGACAGTCCCCCAAGTAGAGTGAGACGTGGACCCACCGGGAGCGCCGGAAGGAAGCAGGGCCTAGAAGCCACTCTCAGACAAGTCTGCCACCGCCACAGGAAGCCACTCCCTTCAGATAAAACCATTCCCCAGAATGTGACCAAAGGGCAAGGCGGGGGCTCCACCAGAGAGAAGTGCTGGTGGCTTTCAGCGGTAAACACCACCACCCGCGGAATGGAAATTGACTGCGTCCCTCCACAAAGCAGTCCTTTCTCATCCCAGAGCCACGAGCAACATGACCTTCGAATGTGTCAGCAGCGAGGTCCTTTGACAGCCAGCTCCTTTGACTTGGCCACTTGGTAGTGACCGTGCAACCTAAGGACGTGTGACCCAGTGGTGGCACGAGGTGGCTAGATCTCAGTTCTGATGTGACAACTTCAGCCTAAGCACGTTTGTTCTGGGTGTGCGTTCTCGGCTTGTGATGAGAACACAAGCCTTCATCTCCTCACTGTGAACAGCGCTGCACTTGAGGGAGGGGAAGGGGGTGCTTCCCTGTCATTGCTATGGTGCATGTGTACTTTTGCTCTTCAATTTAAAAATCAGATCTTCTACATATCTTTGCAACTAGGGAAGAGAAAGCGGGTCTTTTAATTCCAGAACCACGGTGCACACATCACACTCCAGTGTGAGATCTCCATGGGCTGGGCAGGAGCTCAGCGCCTGGCAGATTTCAGCTTGCAGGGCATCTCCCTTGGGGGCTGTGTCTGATGGCCTGCGGCCAGCCCTGCCGACAGAGCCCTGCTGCTTCCTGCGTTCCCAGTGGTGATTCCCTGTGCCCTGAGTGTTCAGGTTCTGCCTCTGCTGTGAGCTGAAACACTTTCTCTGAAGAGCCCTCACGGTACAGAAACAGCGTCTTTGGATCCTGCTGAGCCCCTATCCCCAGCCCACCACTGCCATGAGGCGCAGGCACCAGGCACTGCCCGGAGCTTTTCCAACCACCTGCACTTCCATTTTCCAACAAAGGCCAAACAAGAGAGTCACGAACTTCACTTGCAACCTGTTGGCAAAGGGGTGGGGAAGGAAAAGCGCAGCCAGAAGAAATAACCATCTTGACAAACTTTTGTGCACCTACACACAAAGTCTTGCCTTCAGCTCAGAGACGCTTGGACTCAGGCCAAGTTTCCCTGCTCTCATGCATAGCAGAAAAGCTTGTCAAAGAGCTGGCAGCTTTCAGCCAGCAGCGGTGGGGATGGAAAGATGGAAACGTGTCTTCCCATTTGCACCCCCTCAAAGGAATGAGTGAGCTGTTTCTCAGCCACAGTTACCCATTTTCTGAAACAAAAGATTCATGTCAGGGAATCAGCTTCATTAGACCACACGTTGTGTGTTTTGTGTATGTAAATGACACCTCTGCCTTGTGGGAGTGGGCACCCCGGAACTCCAGCTTCCATGACACGCAGATGCTGAGTGACATTGCGGAACGCAGCCTGTTTGCTAAGGCTGCATCTGTTTGCTGTTTCTGACACTTCCAGCGATCAGGCCCCTAACACTCCACATTCCCTAGGTCTCTTGTTAGAGCCAAACATATAAACCTGCGGATCGAGTTCTTCCAGCGTGGAGAATGAAAATAAAGAGCAAATGTGATTCTGAAGCAGACACCAGCTTGGGCATGAGGCTCTGATGCCTGTGTGCCCAGAACCTGCAGAGTTGGTTCTGAGAACTGAGGTCAAGAGGCAGCCCCGTGCCACTGCCTTCCTCCTCAACACCACCAGAGAGGCTGGGATTTTGCACCTGTTAGATAAGTATTGCGTTCCTCCTATCCCCACAGAGCTCAGCCCAGGCTCCAGGGAGACCACAACACACAAGAGAGACGTGGGCCCTGCCTGAGGGAGCTTACAAGTGAGCTGGAAGGCACAAGTGGGTACGCAGATGTGTGAGCCCTGATGAGCTCGGGAAGCCCGGCATGGGTGTTCCCACGTGGGTCAGGGAATGCTGCCGACAGGTACCTGGGCAGTTATAGGGCTCCACCTTCCTCTCCGCACCCCTTTGCATAGCCTTGGAGACGGCACTGTGATTGTGCTGGTGACTGTGGTGGGGACACAAAGTCATTACCCTAATGAGCGCCGGCTCTTTGAGTTAGCGCTGAGAAAGGGCAATTACAGAAAACCATGTTCTAAGATGTGGCTGTGTGTGGAGCGCTCACACGCATAAAACAGACTCGGCTCATCACGACTTCCTTCATTCATTCATTAATTCATTCACTGTCCTAGGAGGCTTCCCATTTCTCTTCCCCTTGTCTCATCTGCCTCCAGAATTGTCCGCAGTGAGCTCTCAAGCTCAGTTCCAAGACAAAAAGTTGGGAGAGGAAAAAAATAAAAACTAGCTTTTAAGATCCAAAAGTTATGGGAGCAAGAAGGAAGCCAAGCAGCAGCCGGCATCCCTTCCCCACGGGGCCCAGACTTCCAGAGCTCATAGACCGTGGAAGATGCAGGTTCACTTCGCGAGCCATCTCTGAGTGAGAGCCTTCCGGGTCCACTGCAGGGGCGTTGGTGTGTTTGAGCGAACGACAGGTCGACTCCCATACTCTCCTATAACACCTAGCAAGGTCACTGACCTCAGGTGGAAATGTGACCCGGTAGAAATCTGGCTTTCTGGAGATGGCCAGGAGAGTGAGCTAGGGCATTCTGCCAGGGTAGTCCTGACCACGGGGGCCCGCCAGTGGCTTGGGGTCCACCCTCCTCAGCATCACATGGGCTCCTGGGGCTCAGCGCCTTGGTATCATCCCATCCCATCTGCCAAATGAGCCATTTTACTCAGGTGGTCCCCCCAACTCCTCGTGACCCCAAGAATCATGAATTTGATTACACCAACACCTGGTCATGTCGTTGAGCACTCAGGAATATAGGTATTAGTTTTACATAAAATGATTTTATTGATGGATGAATTTTACCACTTCCAGCCATGTCCAGGGTGGGGGCGGTCAAGAAATGAATGACCCACGGCCATGGCAGGCGAGGTAACAGAGGAGGAACGTCTCAGGCGTCCTCCAGTGGGTTTAGGGGTCTTATGCCAGTGTTTCTCTAGGGAAATGAGAGCCATCATTGCCTTCCACACACCTCCAGTGGGTAACAGAGATTCAATAGGAGGAAGAAATAGGTGTTATTCAAATAAATGCACCGTTCTTGGTTAGAAAGAGCAGCACTGGAGGAGTCATAGCTGGCCCATCCCTCAATACTGGTGCTGCAGATCCAGACCCCACACTGCTGAAACTCAGTAGGGCCATTCCCAGCATTCTCTTATTCCCTTGGGGCCAAGTAGAACAGAAGTCTGTCTTCCCTGCAGTGTGGGAAGCAGCGGCAGGCCCCAGCCCCACAGTTAGAGACCTGCCCTGGTCACAGCAGGGGTGAGCGGCCTTCTCTGCATCCACAATGCCTTTTTTGAATCAGGTGCCATAGATGAGCCCTCCGCTGACTGCTTTTTCCCACTTGCTTACCATAACTTCCTTTTTCTTCTCCAACTCTGCAGACCAACAAAGCCGTGGCCAAGGGGGACTTGCACCAGGCCAGCACCAGCTCCCGGCGGGCCCTGTTCCTGGCAGTGCTGTCCATCACCATCGGGACCGGCGTCTATGTGGGCGTGGCTGTGGCCCTCATCGCCTACCTCTCCAAGAACAACCACCTGTGAGCTTCCTGCGAGTGGACGGGGAGCACCCAGGGCAGGTCTGTGTGGGCATGGAGGAAGCAGACATGCCGCATGACGCAGTGCAGTGCAAATGATTGCCAAATGATGCCACGAAGCCCTGGGATTTCCTACCCGTGGATTTCTTTTGTTTTTACCCTTTAATTTCATGTTCACAGCACTGTGTAGAGCACCAGACAGACGGGCACTGCTAATCCTTCCAAAGGAAAGCTCCAAAGATCCCAGCCCACAAGGCTGTCTCTGGATAGGTTCTGGTGGATGAATGGCAGCGTGGCTCTCTGCAGCCTGCCAGTGCCCAGAGTGCCACCGCATTAGCAATATACAAACAGTCCAAAAAAGTGTTTATTTTTATGGAATACGGTGCAATAGGCAGAGGACAAGGGACACGCCACTCTTCTGTCTGTGGCCCTGCTGGAATCCTTTGTGTCCCCCCGAGTCCACATGCCTTCCCTGCAAGACAAAAATGGGGCTGGGAAGGAAGAGGTGACACCACGCTGGCAGGACCCCCGCTGCACTGCTCTGCAGACCCATTGGCCTGACCCCGAGACACAGGGCCAGCAAAGCCCAGGACCTGCCCCCGTTCCTTTCCCTTCACCCTACCCAGCCTCGGGATGTCAAGCCACCTCCGGAACATGTCTACACTCCACAGCTACCCCGCAGCAATACGCACTCTTGGGACCTCGCTGATCCAGGATGGGGAGGCAGGCCATCGCCCCTCCCAAGACTCAAGAAACTGACCTGCGGTTGCTCCAGAAACTCGAGGCTCTGCGGCCGTGAGCACCGCCGGAGCCTAAAGACACGGGCTCTTCCCAGTCACGGCACTGGCGGGCATTCACCCCATCATAAGCAGACACTAGTGATCCCGGAAACGAGATGGGCCTTACTCTGTCGACTAAATGAATAGCTATTTTCTTGTCATTTTTTTAAGTGCAACTCTTGCTTCATGCTGCTTAAGTTACCAGACGAATGCTGAGAAATAAGTAATCACAGACATTTTAATACCATTTCATTGCTGTTTTACGAGTGTTCATTACTTAACAGAAAGTTATCTTTTAGCTTTTTCGCTTAAGACTTTTATTTCTGATGAACAGCTGTCGTTGGGTTTCATTTATATCTTCCCCTTGTGGTTTAAGGAGCCGCGGAGCCATCCAGGCCTCCACTGCTGAAACAGCAGAGGGGCCCCAAGGAGAACCCAAGTCCCTGCCACTTCAGTGTCCACCAGTAAATATGATTGTCCTAATCCCCCCAGTGGCTGCAGAGACCCCCCTCTCCAGGACAGTGGCTCCACCTGCAGCGCTTAGCAAATCCCTGAGGCCTGGGTCAGCCCCAGGCTGACTCGATTGCTCAGGATGCGGCCTGGTGACTGCAACGCCAGGCTGAGAACCACTGCCCTGGAATAAGGACTGTGGGTTCGATCCTTCTGCCCACCACTCTCCTCCTTAACCTTGAACATTTAGTATTCTGAAAATTATTAGCACTGTCGGCCTGGGTCAAATTTGAGATCTATCTGGCATTTCTCTCTATGGGAGGGTTCAGCAGGGAGTGTAAGATTTTAACCCTAAGAAGAGCTGCCAGCCAACAGCCCTGTAGGAGTTAGAGTCACCAGCCTTGGAGGGCATAGGTTTAGGGTCAAACCAACCTGGATTTGAATCCCGCTGTGCTACTTTCCAGCTGTGTGATCTTGGGTAAAGATATACACCTCTCTGAGCTTTGTCTCTAAGAGAGGATAATCGTAAGGCCCACGGTGTGGGTTGCTGGGGAATGCGTGAGGCACAAGCCATCAGGCCTGGCAGGAGCAGGTGGTTGTGGCTGCCATTGCGTCCTTGGCTGGCTGTCCCATGGCTGGTCCGTGGCCCTCCATCTCTCAGGTTCATTTATCACAAGACATTGTGTGAAACGGGCTTCTTTGTACTTGTCCTGAAGTGATCCATTTTAAGTTCCAAGGATCCCCAAAGGTGCGTAGCTTTGGATTTGGTGAAGAGGGAGAAGCTGTCTGTACATCCCCACTCATCATCTGTCTACACTGTCACAGTCACCCTGAGCCAGGCCCTCAGTGCCAGGTACTTGGCCTCTGCGAGACCAACTGCCCATCTCATTCCAGCCTCTATTTACAGACGGAAAAGCCTCAGCTCCCGGGGGCTTGGCCTTATCTAATCTCAAGCTCTGTCAAGTCCTTCTCAAGGGCTTTACCTGCGGGTGTGAATGTCATAGGTGGGCACAGGGGACAGGGTCAGCTGAAGGCAGCCATGGGGCCCAGCAGCTCACCTGGCAGCTAGGCACAGTGTGTGACAGCTCTGTGACCGGCTTGGCCTTGGTGGCAGGGGGCATGACTGAAGCTCATCTTTGGTGGCTGTTAGTGACTGCCATCAGCAGAGCCATCTTCTGAGTGAGTCAGAGTGACCTGTGCCCCCTAAACCTGCCTCATTCCTGTCAGGCCCTCGTGGCATCCACCAAGCAGCACACATGATCTCACCTCCTTCTCCCCATAGCCCCAGCAGGGAGGTGTTCCCACCTCTTCCCCAGGTGTCCCTGCCTTCCCAGGCGACACCTCACATCCCCAGGCATCCCCTGCATCCCCAGGTGTCCCCACCTCCCTAGGCATCCCCAATTCCCAAGACATCCCCACCTCCCCAGGTACCCCCACCTCCCCAGGCATCCCCACCT